AAAAAAAAAAACAGTTTCAAATTTAAAAGGAAATCTGAAGCAGGCATTTGTTTTGGTTGGTGGAAGAAGCAAACTGATGAATGTTTAAGTATTTCCAAAGACTGGAATAGTATACTTATAAATTGAAAGAAAAAATAGAAATAGATTTCTGATAAAATAGGTGTTCTAGCAAGGCAAGGATGACAAAATTTTTGCTTAAGAAGGGAAAGGAAGTTAAAAAGTTAAAGAACAGTGGTCTAGTTATGCTGAAGGTGAGAAAATCAGTATTTTCTCATATAGGAAAGTATGCAGTCGTCCTCGTTCTGATCATTTGCCTTATCTATTGGAAAATAAAACCGGTTCTGATCTACGATTCGCTACTGCTGTAGATGAGGTGCTTTTGGCTAAAAGTATGCAACGTAAACCTAATGCGAAGTGGTATCCTGTTCCAGCTGGTTCTGTTTTCACTTTCGAGTTTCGCACTAAGCAGCTAGTTGCTATGGTAAGAAATTTTTTTGATGTGCTTGGTGATATAGTATTCCCTCATAGATGGAAGGTATTTTAGGGTTTTCCAGGCGAACCGAGGCAACTACTAATACATGTAGAAGGATGGGACGATATTTCTCCAGTAAATGTTGATTCTGTTGGGACATTTTTTAGACTTGCGAGGTGCTCAAATAGATCAGCTGTAAGTTGCAAAAGTTTAATGTTTTTAGAGCTGCATTGTTCTGAATACCTTTGGGGTAACTGAGTTTTATTACTTAGCTCCTTGTAGCGGCACTCGACGCATGGTAATGCACGCCTTATTATTGAGATAAGTATGAACAGGGATGGGAGAAAAGTAGTTACAGTCCGATCAGCTTTGAGTGTTGTAAATAAATTACCAGACGCTGTGTTGATCTATTTGAATAATAATAACCTGCCACCTTCTGATGGTTTGTAATTTTTTTAAGTTTCAAAGCGGAACTAAATTTTCTATTGCATTTACGTACGGTGATTCTCTACAAGTGTTATAGTTTTCTCTGGAAACAGTAACTTTGTTGTTTCACCGCTGATTTCATGTGTTTTCTTCCAGAGTATGAGATTTTGCGATTGGAACCAAATTCTGCTTTGCCTATACCCTTGAGGCTCTCCAATGCACGTATCTCTGTGAAACCAGACGGTCGTGTTATTGTGCCGGCATCGCCTGTAAATGCTTCTATCATTCTGTATCTGCTTTTTCAAACATTCCTAATAATTTTTTTAAACAGATTACCTGGCCAGAAACAATGGGTCCCGGTGAAACAGTAACAAGAAATCTTTGCTTCGAGACAAAGGAACGGGGGAAGAATTACTGGTAGGTGTTGGAGCACTTGTATTTCATAATGTTTTTTTCGTGAATGATCTGTTCTGCCTAGTGAGATATTACTTTTTTTTTGAATTACTGTCAATTTTTATTAATATTGGTATCTTACGCTTCTTGTTTACTTATCTGTTTCATTTCTTTATTTTCGACTATTTTTCAGGGTGTGTGCGTTAATAAAAAGAGAACATTATCCTGAGTTTGAAACACTGCCAGGACACACCATTACATTGAGCTCACCATTGTCGTTACTAAACTTATTGCCGGTTGATCTCGAACTAATCACTTCGAATTCTATTTATGCTGTT